TTGAAGGAAAGTTAAAAGGGTATGTATGTATATATAAATAAATTCTAAATTACTTCTTGATCCTATTAATTATTATCATTAGTTATTATTAATTATTATTAATTAAAATATTAAATAATTAAGAGAAGAAAAAATATTAAAATTGAAATCCTAAGATGATAGATAATAATCATAATAATCATAATGACAATAAATTTCTCTTGTTATATAATAAAAAATTATCTTTGACTGACCATGAAAAAAATTTTTAATGTCTAATTATTATATTCGCCAAAAACTTATTTACAAATAAGGCAAGAAAAAAAAATCTGAATGTTCGTTTTTGTTTTAATATCTAATCAATATGTATATATTTATGATTTAGATTTAGATTTATTAGTTTCAGATTTTATTGATGTGCTATTGTTAGATAAAAGTGCTAATTTAGCTTTTAATTCTTCAACTTCTTTAGCCAATCGAACATTTTCATCAATTTTCATGGCGCTTAAATTAGCTTTAGCTTTTAATTCTTCAAGTTCTTTACGTAGTTTAACATTTTCTTCTTCAAGATGTGTAGCCTTTTCCTCAAGATCAGCAACATAAGCTTTTTTTTTACGTCTACATTCTTTAGCTGCAATACGATTACGATAAAGTCTACGTTGTCGTCTTTCATCGTTTGTAAGATTACGAGCATTATTGTTACTACTGCTGCTACTACTATTACTACTGGCCTTTTTACCACTTCCACCACCACCAGATGAAGGAGGAGAATTACTATTATTAATAACAAGAAGATCTGATGCAGTTGGCTGTTGTGATGTAGTTGGTGATGGTGTATCTGATGTTGCAATAGTAGTACTATTATTAGTATTAGAAACTACCACATTATTTAAAATATCCTCCATACTTGTAAAAGGAAAGAATTAAAAAATGCCAAAAATAAAAAACTAGGTGGATGAACAACTTTTAGTATTATGAGGTTAGATTTATTATTTATTATTTATGTAATTTAAAGTTATGATATATATGACATAATTTATATCATTTTTCACCAAATTTAGAATAGAAAGAATGGTGCTTATTGTTGGTTGACAGAAATTTGTGGATCAATGCGTTACACGCAATTTTTTTTTCAACATCCTGATTTTTTATATAGTAATAGAACCAAAGTAGAAGAAAGTTTTATCAATAGCTTAATAAAAAAGATAAGTAGAAATATATGACCTATATAACTTACTATTTTACATAAATTAATCAGAACTCTTTCTTTTATTATTTAGTTGGAGGAACCTTTGCCAATTATACTTTTCTAGTATACTAGAAAATTTTTGACCACCCTTGTTCGAGAAATTGGTATTTAGAAAACTTTTTGAACATGAGTCTTTGACAGATAGTTCAGAAAAGTTTACAAGATCGTGAACAATTTTCATGAAAATGTCATTGATGGTATAGTACATGGTATAAAAATTTATTTCTCTACGTTCAACAATCCTAATCTCTGTCAAGACAAAGAAGAAAGAGATCAGTAAATTTGTTTTAAAAGTGATTTATTGCTCCATGGTAATCCACCAGCCGAAGGTAATAACAAAGCAGCATTTTACGAGGTCATATTTAAACAAAATTATGCAAGAGGTGAATTGCAATTATGAACAAAATGGTAGCGTAAGTAAGTAACAATTTTAGTAACTAGAAGGAATATCAACAACTTTCTTAAAAGTATTTGTATATTTTTGAAGAAACGTATGGTAAATCTACATTTTCCAAAACAACCATTATTAATAAAGTACAGTATGCATCATTGCCTATTGCATTACATAAATTTGTTTTGATGTATGCAGGGAATTGAATATACTATTTTAAGATATTTATCCAAATAATTATGGAATCAGTCTTGGAAAAGAAATAATAACGAAGATCTACTTGTTTATTGGTATCATATTAATGTAGATAGGTTACTATTACATCTGAAAATCACAGTTTGACACACGCTGTGATTGGTTGATTAGAAACAATGCCTCCGGATTTGATAGCATATGTCCCGAATTTGGTGATTATTCACAAACACTGCATTTTCAATAATAATAAGTAAATTTTTTAGGTTTGACCAGCTGCGGCAGTAACCTATCTATAGCTTGCGGATAAACTATTATTATCGGTTGATCGATGAAAAACAAAGAATTAAGCAACAGAGTACATACAGCCTGGATCCCAAATGAATTCAAGGCAAAAAAACCCCCCCCCCCCCCGAATTAATTAAAAAGTCGACATGCAGTCCCAACTAAATGGGTAAAAGCCAAAAAACAAAACCAAACCAATAAAGTCTGAAAACTGAATATAAAGCAAAAGAATAATCACGGCATTGATTGTACTTTTGGGGAAAAATATTGAAGTATTAAAAAATTATGAATGAAAATAGCCTTATAAATTTTTATAATTGCGAAAAAATAGTGAATAAATATTATTCTCCAATTAACCTAGAGTTAAAGCTCCTTATTAATTAGACAAATTAAATCAATCCATCCATATAAATTATGAATGCTAAAGGCAAAAGATTTTTATACTTGGCACTACCAATTATAACATTCGAAGAAGCGGAAGAAGATCGATTTGATCAATGAGATCTTTCAATTCTCAAATATCCCAATTAAATGTTATAATAATATGGGGCATACTGCAACAAAACCAGATAAAGCGAACATTTGTAATACTAAGAACATCAGGGATAGAAGTTGGAACTGTATTCGATATTCGTATTTAAATCGGAATCCAAAGTTTTAATGCGGAGACCGGATGTATTTATTCGATCAGTCCGGATACGTTTCGTAACAAATTTTCATAAAAAAAATATAAATGTAAACATGACGGGATGATGATGATGCGGAAGGTGAATGGATACTTTTCCTATTTAAATTAAATAAAAATAAAGGTTAAGCTAGCCACTATTTTTAATTAATTAATTAGAGTGACAAGTTGCAATGATCACAACCACCACCATTCTTTTAATAAAAAATGGTCATTGCAAATTTTTTCAAAGAAAGTAGCCAAGTTTAGAGGTTATATAATAGACGGAATATTCATTAAAATAAATAGCTTAATATTTAAACTTTTTCGTTGGGGTTTCGATCCCATGAAATAAAACTATTTAAACTACTTTTTTGGTTAATCAAACCGTCCCTGGATTAATATTGTTGAAAAATACAGAAAGAACTATTATTATCATCAGTCAAAAATTTTTTCTTATAAATGCCTGCTTATTTCAACCAGATTCAGGCTCTTCCCAATTTTAAACCCTCAAAAAAAAAAAAATATATATTTTTAATTTTAAATGAAACCATCATCATCTTCAATAAATAACGCGACTGAAATTTCTGAAAACAGTGTTGTCAAAATCGCCAGTCCAATCGTTTTATTGGACTTATTGGACTCGACTAGACTTTATTTGGACTTTGTCATACAAAATAAAAAAACTTGTCATAATCATTTGTTGTTGAATTGTAAATTTTTTTGAATTAACTTCTCAAGTGGTGAGGAGTGGTTAAGTTGGTTCAATGATACTGATACAGAAACTACAATTGAAAATGAATTTTATAATGATGATGGAGGTTCTATTAATACATCATCTAAAGAAATAAATAATGTACAAAATTCTTCTACTCTAAATAAAAAAATACTCTTGGGTATGAATTTTAGTGTATTGCATATTTAAAATTTTTTGCTACAGCCGAACCTCGTTACAACGGCTTTATTATAACGGATTTTTGTCATACTAATACTGATATTGTCCCCGTTTTTTTTTTATTAATATTACGAATTTATATAATGGACCTTGTTCGGTAATAGTAAGAACTTCAATTAAAAATTTCTATATGGTTCAAGTCACTTGCTTAGTCACAGAACTTTTTGCTATTACTATCCTTCAATTCTCCAAAATGAAAATATAAAATAGTAGTAGTTTGATATAGTATTGGAAATGATCATGCATTTAAGTATTTAAACTATAACTTTTCTTTTGAATACTAACTTCTCTCAATAAATGATTATAATAAAACCATTGTTAATTGGTAAAGTTATCCTTGTTTGATTAATTAATTATTGAATTAAACCATTGATTCGGACTATATTATAATTATTCTACCATCGCAGGGACACAATCCGACATTATCAAAGTCATCATATTCTAATTCACAAAAATTTTGATTAAATCTAAGGTAATTGACTCTCCATTCGATGTTAAAATAGACACCAAATGATCTAATAATTGTTGAATAAGCCTTTCAGCTTATTTTTTAAAAGATCAATTATAGTTGCCTATTAGGGCATCCAACTTATTTTCGATTTTTTGGAATTCCAAAACAGTCGTGAAACTTGCATAATCTTTAGGCGTTAAATCTATCTTGTTGAAGAACATGTCAGAAAACGGACCAATAAACTAAAAAGTAATATGGAAATTAATTATAAATTCTGTTTTTGTCGTAAATAAATTCAAAGTCATGTGCCTACTAATTTATCATTGGTCCAAATTATTTATAGAATTGTAACAATTACGATCTAAAAAACATTCTTTTTAAAAATTTATTTTTAATCTCAAGAAAATGGCGACGATCGAAGAATTAGAGAGAAATCAAAAATGTCAGAGGAGGAGCATGGAAAGGCAATGGAGGAGTTGAAGGAATTCATGGAAGGGAAGTACGACGGCTTGTTGTTGAAAAAGTTGAGGAGAGAGAGAAACAATCTTAGTGAAGAGGACAAGGAGGAGAAGAGAAGACTGGAGGAAGAAGAGAAGAGGTTGAAGAAAAATTTAGACGATAGGAAGAAGCAGGTGGAGAAATTGCAGGATGCGTTGGTAGAATTTGGTGGAGGGAAAGGTAACGAACAAATTGCATAAAAAAAAAAAAAATAATAATAATATTGTTTATTTATTTTTGTAACTTTGATTTATTTTTTTTCCTTCAATAACTCAATTTCAATTCTTTGTTGAATCACTTATTAATCATCATTTAATTCTTTTCATTATTTAGTTGGTGAAGGCAAATACTTTATATATCAGATATGGTGTTAATTTGCTTGTCTCTATATATTCCTTTTATATCGATTTATCTGACTTAATAATCTCTCCTTCACAAAAGCCTCTCAAAAATATATCATTACTCCTGAATTTATTTTGTCTTGGATTCAAAAATATAGAAGACCAACTAATGAAGTTCCTCCAAAGGTAAATTAATGAAACATTGCTATTGATATCCTAATTTTTTATTTACCATGTTTTGTGTTTCTATTGTTACAGCTTATAGCCACATATGGAAAACATTTCAAGTTTCTTGGAAGAGAAGAAACAGCAGAGCAGCTTTGGAATGGAACTTTAAATAAAAATGGTGTTAAAAAACGCTATTATGCACACTGGAATAAAATTAAGGATTGTAATTTTCATCCGATTCCATTCATTGCAGCAGGGCCTGGTACTGGGAAAACTCGGGTATTAGAAGAAAGTTTGAATATGTTGAAAAAATGTGTAGAAAAAGAAGATAATGTTGAATTAAAGAATTGGTAGATAATGCTGTGTTGATTGATATTACATATGGGAATGGTTGTGCTGCTTCTGCAACAGATAGTAATATTGGTGGTGAAACAAGTTTGTCATTAAGGGTTCTCTATCGATATTTTGTGGAAGGATATCCTAATTTAGAATTTTCTGGTTTTGTTGATATCATAAAAAATACCTTTCTCAATGTTGGTGACTTTGGTCTTGAAAATGTACTCAATGCCATTGCATTGGACATTAAGAGAGAAAAGATAATGATTATTAACTGTATAGATGAAGTCAACAAATTATATGGATTAGATGATTCAACTTTTAAGACTATGGTAAATGCTGTTGGTTCTTGTAGTTGTGCATTGAGTTCAATAT